ATCTCAACCAATGGCTGATTGAGGTGGCATCTGTCATCCCAGCTAGGCTAAGATAGAATTATGGTCCAGGCCACCTTAGGTGAAAAGTGAGGCCCCATCTCCAAAATAACCAGAGCAAAAAGGGCTGCAGGTGGGCTCAGATGATAGAGCGCCTGCCTTGCAAGTATGAAGCCCTGAGTTCAAACGCCAATAACCCTCCTCCCCCAAAAAAGAGTTTGAGACTGGGCGGTATAGTAAGACCTGTCACAAAACAAGACAAAGATGAGTTCCGGTTTGATCCAGGTAATAATTGAAGAGGAATGACACAATCCGTGAATTGAAGAAGGGGTGACCTTGTCCATAAAAAATCAGACCAAATGGAATGGGGCCTCTGTACCGTTAGGAATACTAGCATGCATTAAACGAAATCACAGAAGGTGAGCAAAATCCTGACTGTGGGGACCCCACAGCGTGAATAACCCAGTTTCTAAAAACTGGGAGAGGAAAGGCAGCAACTTGTAGGTTAACAGAAACTTAAAAGACTCAAGTTAGAATCTCAGCTTGTGAGAAAGGCAAAGGCTGTGAATCAGTCATATGCGAAAGCTGACATCACAGAAGCAGAGGGGGACAGTGGTCGCTGAGGACAGGAAGGGCAGAGACAGGGAGGCCAGAGAGAGGCTGGATGACAGGTCCCAAACACCATTCCACAGGAAGAAGGCGTCCTAATGTTCTATAGCACAACAGGGTGGTGTGGCTCACAATTAATTATGTTTGTGAAAAAACCCCAAGAACTAGGAATGAGAAATTTGAAGCCTTCCAGGAAGAAGTGTAAATGTTTCTGAGGACATAGATGTTAATTGTCCTGACTGGATACTACACACGGCATCCACGAATGGAACTGTCACACCTTGTCCCCAGATACATACATCACGTGCTGGCTTTTATAAAAGGATTCAGGCTGGTGGAGTGACTCAAGTGGTAGAGCGCCTGCCTAGCAAGTGTGAGGCCACGAGTTCAAACCCCAGTGCCACCAAAAAATAAGAAGGGAAAAAAAAAAAAAAAGGATTTGTTGGTAAGAAAAAAAAAAAAAATCCCAGTGTGCGGGCTTTAACTAAATCTTTATTCTGACAAACAAAAAGTCTGGCATTTTTGCGTGTGAGCGCGCTAGGTAGCTGCTGTGGTTAGGGACGTATTGTGAATGTTTGGGTAGGGTCCTGGTTATGGTGATTATGTTTTCGTGTTTTTATTTTTGTTTTTTAGCGCCTTTGTCATTTGCAAAGTGTCCAGCACTCTGCACCTGCCGCTTTGTGCTGGAATGTTCCTAAGTGTCTCCTCAAATAGCTGCGTTGATCTGCTCTGAATTTCATCTGCTCTGAGACCTCTGTCACCACCCCGTGCAAACTGTGACATTCATTAGTAGATTTCCCTGCCCAGTTACCTGCTCATCTCTCTCTTTGTTCTGTCCAAATCTGAGGTCACCCTGCTGTATCTGCTTGTTTGTCCCCTGCCTCCTACTGAGGACAACACAGAGGTCAAGGGTATAGGCCTGCCTCAATTTGAACTCCGACTGAGCTGGTGAGCTTGGGGATGTCCCATAACCTCTCTGGGCCCCTCTTCCCCATCTGCTGCAGCCCCAGGATAACAGCAGCAGCTCCCCTGCAGGTTTGGGGTAAGGTCACATGCCTGGCGTGCTGTGACACTCCCAAGGTCCTGGCTGTTACTGTTCCTCTCGCTGGCCCACAGTACACAGACACTTGGTAAATATTTGTCGAGTTAACTATAATCTGTGATAAGGGTGGAGATAAGCCTAGAGGTGTGACACTGAGGTCCTGGGGAGTGGGAAGGGGTCAGGGGAGGTGTGTGGCCAGGCCTGAGCTGAGGCGTTAAGGATGGAGAAGAGGCAGTGAAGCCCAGAGGGTGGGTGGGAAGGGTGCATCAGGCAAAGGGCTGTGGGAAGGAGCTCAGGGCAGGCCCCTCGTGGACTGTGGGGTCAGGACTGTGGCCACCGGGAGAGGACGGAGCAGGGCAAACCAGCCACAGCCAGGTACTGCTCTGTGGGGAGAGGCCTCGCCCTGGGCTGTGGGGACACAGTGTTCCCAAGTCACTGTCTGGGACAGATGAACCCTGGGTGCAGCCCAGTCCCCTCCCCACAGGCCACAGGCTTGGCCTCAGCATCTGTGCCAACTATTCACTTGTTGGTGATGCCTGTTACCCAGAGGGGCTGTGCCCAGCACCGGCTGCCTCTGGTTCCAGAGCCATATTCTCCTTCCAAAGCCTCTCCCTGGGTCAGGGGCCAGGCATGCAGGTAGAGGTAGGCCTCAGGCATGCAGTAGGCCTCCAGAAAAGATGGAAGATAACCAGGTGTGGTTGTGCCCACCTGTGTCCCAGCTTCTTGGGAGCCTGAGGCAGGAGGACAGCCTGAGCACAGGAATTTCAAGCCAGTCTGGACAACATAGCAAGATCCTGTCTCTTAAAAAAGTAAAAGAAAAGAGGGCATCCTAGCAGGAAGCGGTACAACAAAAGTTATACTGTGTGGCATGAATCAGGGAAGGCTTCCCAGAGCAGAAGCTAGTTGGTCAATCCTGAAGTAGTAGTAATAATAAATAATACATGCCCAGGGCTTGGCTTCTAGATACATCTCCAATAAAAGGACCAGGGCTTCTGGAAAAATGGTTGCTTTTAGGCTTGGGCACCTTGTAGTGCCAGGAAGTAAGGAAGTGCTCAAAGCAGTCTAAGAGGCAGATGGTGTCAGCTTGAATTAGAGCCCTAGTGCACCGCCGTGCTTACTGCTATCCAGAAAGGCTTGAAGAAAAATGGAGGAGAAAGACTGAATTTTCCTTACAGAAAAATTCCAAAGACTCGCTTTCCTCTGTCTAGATGGGGGCTTGCACCCCTCCCCCGCCCCCTGTCCCCCACAGTGCAGGCTGGACCTCACCACTCCATTCCGCAGTGCGGAGCACAAGCGGTCACCTTAATGCAGATGCAGGGCGAGAGCGAGGTGCGGAGCACAAGCGGTCACCTTAATGCAGATGCAGGGCGAGAGCGAGGGTCTGCATGACGTGAGAGCACGTCATGAGGTCACTATGTCCCCTGCCTGGATGCGTGAAGGACAGCAGCTCACCTCTGGGGCTTGCTTTCTTAAGCCCATCACCCACTTGGGGAAAACAGTCCATTTCAGAGCAAGGACTCTCTAGGAGGCACGGCCAGGAAGCCAAAGCCATGAAGGTCACCCAAAACGAGGCAGACTGAGAAACTGTCCCTGAGACAATGTGGCCTCACGGGTGTGACCCTGGGCTAGGGAGATGTGGCTGGGGAAGCAGGTAAGCCTGAGTACCTGCTTCCTGTCCCCTAGGCGTGCCAACGCTAAGCTCTTGTTTATTGCGGTGCTGGGATGGAGCCTGGTCCCCTGAGTGCAGGCCTCATTCTACCACCGAGCCACACCTCCAGTCCCCCTTTCTTAGGTCCCAAATGTCCGTGGTGAGGTAAGACGACGGAGGAAGCTGGTGGAGGATCTAAGGGGCCTCTACTGCCTTTGCATCTTCTCTGCAAATCTAAAAGAGCACACAACTTATTTCTGAACGTGCCCATGTACTGGGCACAGATCTAAGTACTTCCACATAGGTTGGCTCGTTTAATCCCCACTGGGGTACCAGGGGGTCATTTTACCAGCCTCAATATCCAGGTGAGGAAACCGAGGCCAGAGACACACTAGAACTGGCATTCACGTCCAAGTGGTCTGAGGTCAAGGTCAAATGTGGTCCCTGTCTTCCCAACACTGGCTGTCATCTCTTGAGCATTTACTTTGTCTGAGGGAAGAAGATGGAGTTCAGAGAGAGGCAGCATCAGGGAACATAGTTCAGAGCCCAGCAAGACCGGAGGTGGGAAGTGAGAAGATGCCATACTGTGCTGTCTGAGGCTGACTCAGGAACCTGTGACCGGCTGTGGGAGTCAGGGACTGTCCAAAGACAGGCTGGTTTCTGTGTCAAGGTGACTGGGCGGCGCCTTTCACTCAGACGCCTCCCTTGGGAAAGGTGGGCGAGGAGGGAAGATGACAGATGTCCTTTTCTAAACATTAGTACAGTAACATGAGGTGACAGGCTGCTGGCTCAGCAGCTCACAAGCTGTGTGACCTCAGAGATGTTACTTAACCTCTCTGGGCCTCACCTATAAAATGGAGAGGAAATAACACCAGTTTTCTCATTGGCTTACCGCCAGGGTTAAAGTAATTTTAGACACATGAAGCACTTAGAACAGGGCCTGGCATGTGCGAAGGCCCAATAAATACACAACTGTTGGCATCATTACTGAATTTGAATTCCTTGCTAAATGTGGGTTTAGTGAGAGGAATCACTAGTGCGAATCTAGTCTACAATCAGCTGGTCAATTGATAAGCAGCCAGCAAGTGAGTTCCCTCAGTGAGGTCCCTCAGTGTGGTTCCCTAAGTTGGGTTCTCCCTTCAACGGGGGCCACCTTTGGGGTGGCTGGCAGTACGGGCCCCCGGAGCTGCCTGCCCTGCTCCATGGGCTTGGAACTCCTTGACGTCAGCTGTAGAGTGCCTGCCCATGCGTCATCCCTGTCTTGTGCACTGAGGGACAAAGGGTGCATGGCACTCAGCAGATTCTCCACTGGGTGTTGGGAGAGCCAGGCGGAGGCCACAGTTCTGGGAGGGGACCGCCACACCCCAAGGCAGCGCAACTCAGCAAGGGGCCCAGCAACAAGCAGCGTAGGGTGGAGCTGGGCCAGGCTTCTGCCCAGGATCAGGTTGGCCAGTAGCTGGGCAGAGAGGGGCCCTGACTTCCCAGGGAGGGTGGCCTTGGTCCCGCAAGTCTCTCGGTGTGAAGGGCAGAAGAGTGTTTACAGCAACCATGTGCAGTCTGTGTCTACCCTTGTTCCCTTCACAGCAGTTATAGGAGGCAATAAAATGATTGTCCTTTTCCAGAGAAGGGAAACTGAGGCTGAGGACTGCAAATGATGGTGCCTGGCCAGATCCACCATGAGGCAACTGCTCTGTCCCCCTCCTGTGAGGGACTGGGGGCTTAGGACCTGTAGCTGTCCCCTTGCCTGGGATCTTAGAAGACCTGCTTGTTCTTCGGGGCTGGCCAGCCAGTGTCTGGCTGATGGGGACATTACAAAAGGCCTGGCCCTTCTTTGAAGGGAAGACAGCTCTGGGGTGCAGTTTCTGTACCAGGTTATTCTGCCAGGCTAAGCCTGGACTTCACCTGTGCCTATCTTTTTCCTCCTTCCCCATCCGCCTTCCCTGCCCTTTCTTCCACGCAGGAACCTCCCTGATGAGCTGCCCCCTGCCCCCAGGCTATGGCACCCACCACCAAGCTCCAGCCGAGTCTCACCGGTAGCTGCAGGGCTCTGTCCCGAACAGGCAGGCCAGGACCATGCGCTTGGCCGGGTAGCCCATGGCTACCAGCTCTGGCCGTGGTACTCGCGAGAAGATGTTGGTGGCCTGCAGGATGTACCACTCGGTCACTGCCTGGGTGGCACTGGTGAAGTTTCGGAAGGTGCACACAGTCCCATTGAGGCTGCACTGTGGAGACCGAGAAGGGCTCCTGAGGGCACAGGGGCTGCTGCTGGGCCACCATCCTGCATTACCATCCAGGTACCCAGTAGGCAAGCCAGCTGCCCAGGGCACATCTTGACCACGGGAAACGTGGTCACATTCACGTTCATGCAGGCTCAGTGGCCACCACACAGCTGCCAGGCTGGTCACAGGACTGTCACACACACCCTCCAGCCCCACCCCCACAGGCACCACCCAGGGTTGTAAGTACAGATCGGAGCCTGCTCTGACATCCACGCCCCAGGATGTCAAGGTCACACACACATCCACACCAGCCCACAACCCCATGTACCTGGAGTCACACGAGTGGCTAACTCACTCATGCATGTGACCACACACCCTCCCACAGGCTCTGGGTGTGCGCACACAGAGGGCCACGACCCCTCGCCTCCTTTCCCAGCCACTTTTCCACAGCTGCGTGGACTCGAGGCTCTTCCGTGCTCCGGAAGGAGTGCAGGTCCACTGAGCCACTGTAGGCAGCCACCCTCAACCCCAGTCTGCCTGGACACAGGGCGACGCACTTGGCCTTGGCCTGGGCCAGTGGGTTTCTGTTGTCCTCCCTGTGGGCCTTCCTTGTGGGACAGGGTGGGAGAAGCTACTCCCTCCATTTCCAGACAGCTCTCCCCACGTGGCCAGCCCGGGCACAGGCCTTAGCCCAGGTCCCAGAGGCCTCCTTGTCATTCCTGGGGATGAGGTGACAATCCCAGGCCCTTGTTCTGTCCCACACTGTTCTCAGGGCTGCCCATGTAGGATCCCCTACCATGTGTGTGGCAAGCCTGTGAGGTAGACATCATTGTCACTGTCCTGTCACCAGCACAGCTCCTCCCCCACCCCAACAGACACACACAGGCACACAGAAACACACACAGACACTCAGACACACGGACACATACACAGGCACCTACAGACAGGCACACAGACACAGACACTCAGACACACAGATCTGGCCCTGAGAGCCAGTGCATCTTCGGGCAATGGGGACAGCCTGGCTTTTCAGATGATGATGCTAGCTCTGTCTGGGTAGACGGTGTGTGGCTGGCATGAGCTCTGGAGCCCCAGGCCATGGTTGGGGAAATAGGGTTGGGTGGGGGATTGGATTTGGGATAGGGGACAGGGGGAGGGAGCAGGGGCAGTGGCTCCATCTTCTGGAGACTGCGGGGCCCCAGCCTGGTCCCCATCTTGAGGCTAATGGCTGAACCGCCAGGGAATGGTTGATAGTGCAGATTCCTGGCCTGCCCAATGCCATGGACTTTCCAAGACATCATAGCTGGACTCCGTGAGATCCCCAGACACCAAGAGGGGCCCTGCCTCCCACCTAGAGGCCCAAGAACTGATGGCCTCCCTGCCTCCCCGTGCAGTGACTTCGAAGCCCCTGACGGCACTGCCCTGCTGCTCCTCAGGGAACAGCCTCCCAGCTCCATCCTCCAGGTCTGACAGAGGCTGAGGTCATCCTCAGCTCGAGAGCCTGTGACACAGGACTGACCAATCACGGGAGCCTCCTCCAGCTCACAGCCACTGGTTCAAAGATGAGCCTGAGACCTGCCTATCAGGCCGAGGCCTTTTGTTGGGGATACTGAGAAAGAGCAGCGATTTGTGTGCAGCAGGGCCCTCCATGGAGAGAGAACAAGTCAATCACAAGAGGAAGGGAACCAAGATGGAAAAAGTTCTGAGGATTACGTTTGAGCACAGGGATCCCGCCAATACCTGAACCCAACTGAACTCTCAGTTCAGTTGCTCCAGTGATTTCCCTGTATTGCATAAACTACGTTTGGACTAACATCCTAGCTATTTCTATTTTTGAAACGGCTTTGCAAACACACAGAACAGTCACTGTCTCCCCCCAGCCATCCCAGTCCCAAGTTATTAAAGAAAAGAAATTCCCACAGCCAGGTGGGGAAGGGTCGCATGCACGGCCCCTCACCAGTCTCATGGCCACCTTGCACTCATGGGCGGTGCAGGTGCTTCCTGGGGCCGAGCTGTGACTTGCTGGGTCAGTGTCGTTGTTCCCGAAGAGGTCGAGGACCACAGGGTGGCTGAGGTTCCGCTCATCGATGAGGACGAGGGGCGTGTGGTTCCAGATGGTGAGGTTCAGGGAACGGGTGGCATTGACGTGGCTTGGCTCGGGAGCCAGGATGCGCTCCAGGACAGCCTCCATCAGCTCGTCCAGGTCCTTCAGCAAGTGCTGGACCTTGGAGTACCTGGGGGAGCGGGGGTCTGGTCAGGAGGGGACTTGCCACCCGAGCACCCCCCCCCACCCACATGGCCACGCATGGCCACGCGGCCTCCACTGTGCATTCTTCACTGGGTGCGTGACGAGTGCCCACTGTGCGCCCAGTCCTGGCAGCAAAAAGACAGACTGGATCTCTTCCTCTGGAAATCCACCTTGGACAGGGGAAGATCCTAATGACTCCTGGCTACCACTCGGTCCCCAGGTGCCAGGCGCCACTGCTTCCTGCCACAATTGTCACCGCTCCCGCGGCAGAGGCCTGAGCTGCTGTGATCCCCAGGTTCAGCGCACTGAGAAGGGGCAGAGCCCAAATGGGACCCGGGTTCCTTGGGCTCCAGGGACTGGGCTCCACCCAGGGGTCTGACAGGGACAGGAAGTGGGGGGAGGGGTGGGTCTGGGACCCCAGGACTCCTCATTCTGCAGCCGGGATTCTGGGGACAGGAGAGGAGGAAAGTGGACAGGCCTGGGAGGCTGGCTCCAGGGTCTCTCTCAGCCCCAGGGCTCCTGTGTTGGAAATGTGACATTTCTGTCAGAGACGCTTTCATATCAGGGGTGTCCTGAGCAGGCTATATCCAATTTACATGAGACACTGTCACAGGGGTCACCATGTGTACCAGCCCTGGCTGGTGGCCGTCCTACAAGAGGTGTTAAACTCTGGACAAGGTCCACGGTTCTGGTTCAAGGATCCACAGCAGCCATGGCCAGCGTGGGCCTCAGACCCCCACGCTGCCTGTCTTCTGGTCACAAAGCCAAGCCACTTGTGGACACACAGCAGGAGGAGGGCTGGGAAGAGGGGTAGGAGTGTTACTGTAGCCACCGAGGTGACATTTGCTTGAACTGCACCTGGAACAGCGCTGGACAGAGCGCCATGGTCACTGTTGTTATTAGGGCTGTCTGGAGGACTCCAGGGCCCACTGAGCAGGCAGAGACCAATTAGAGAGAAGGGACTTCTGGTGACAAAGTGTGAATTCTATTCTAGAACTTTCTTTTGGAAAAGAAAGTTCTGCATGACTCAACTGCAGTGGCCTAGAATTCATCAAGTGCTGTCTATCATTTGGGACACGACCTCTGTCCTTCCAGGCTGACTTCTCCTCCCCTGGGACGTCTCTCTGATTGACCACCTATCTGTCCTCACCCTGAGTGGGCTGGGTCTCCTGTGTGTCCCCTTCCTGAGCCCTTGTCATTAAGTGGGGGGAGAGGCAATGTGGCAGAGGGGTTACAAAGTGGAGTCAGAGCCAGGCGTCAGTGGCTCACGCCTGTAATCCCACCTACTCAGGAATGATCAGGAGGATTGCAGTTCAAAGCCAGCCCAGGCAAAAAAAGTTTGTGAGACCCTATCTCAAAAAACCCTTCACAAAAAGGACTGATTTTTTGAGCCAAAGAGAAGGCCCTGAGTTCAAGCCCCAGTACCACCAAAAAAAAAAAAAAGTGGAGTCAGACAAGGCCTGGGTTCAAATCCCAGCTGGGCTGGGAGGAGGGAGAAGAGCAGGTTCCCCGCCCGGGCCGGGTACCACGTACTGGAAGGGGCTGGAGTTGCAGATGGTGACGGCCGGGAAGTCCATGGTCTTGAACCCCATGGAAAGCGACACGCTGACCTCCCAGCTGAGGTAGGTGTTGATGAAGACGCCCCACTGCCAGCACACCAGGCTGGCGAAGAGCAGTGTGAGCAGGAACCACATGGCCTTCTTCTTGGGCCCCTCGCAGATGATGCGTTTGGGGCCATGTGTGTTGGTGTTGTTGCAGAACCACACCAGCAGCTCCTTCTGCGTGTAGCCGGGGCCCTTCTGCAGCCGGTGCAGGCCCTTCCGCAGGTACTTCATCACCGGCATTGTGCACCTGCAGGACACCGCGCCATGTCACGCGTCAGGCCCGGATACGGCCACACAGCGCAGCCTGCCCTACTTCCCCCTTCCCTTCCTCTTTCTTTCCCTCTTGCCATCCAGCATTTATCCATTCATCCATGGATCTGACCAACCCCAAAGCATTTATAGAATACCCACTGTGTGAATTGGTCCCTTTGGACCCGGTGATGACCAAAATGGACAAGGTTTCCTTCCCTCCGGAATTCTCACCCGAATGGAAGAGCTATTTCAATTCTCGCCTCTGTGTGTACAATGGGAGTGACAGGCACTTAATTCTCTCATGGTTTGTTTGTTTGTTCTTCTGGTGGGGATGCGGATGGAACCCAGGGCCTCACACACACCAGGCAAGCCTGTCCCAAGAGCTGCACCCCCACGCTCACCATCACTAGTTTACAGAATTACAGAGAGGGTGAAATTAGGGGTGGAACAGGAAGTGCTGAGCCCGGTGCCCAGCGCACAGCAAGCGCTCCCCGTGCCAGCGTGGCTGTGGCATGATAGACGCTGATGAAAGAATCCATACAGTGACTGACACACTGGGACCCTGGCCTGAGGGCCTGAGAGCTCACGGCAGTGGTAAAGGGTGAGGACTCGGCTGAAAGGGCTGGATCCATTCTCAGCGCTGCCACTTTTCGACTCTGAGTAGCCTCCCTCTCAGGGCTCTGGTTTCCTGTCTGTAGAGAGGGGTGGTGGCAGCCCCCGAAGGCTACGGTGAGCTGGGCCTGCCCAGGTCTGGGTGCTTGGCTGGTGACAGGGACAGAGGCAGGCAGAGGGGACAGTGTGCAGAGGGCTGCAGAGCTGAGGGGAGCCAGGCCACATGGGGAGAATGGTCACCTGGGGCTTCCATCCCAGCACCGAGAAAAGAACTGTCCACGCGAGAATTAGGTGCTCGCACGAGGACACGGGGGACCCTGAGGGTGGAGAATTGAGGGAACTCATCGTTAGGTGCCAATTCCAGGGCAGGACACCTTGGCCACTGCTGGTCCAGGGGCCAACGCTGCCCCAGTGCCCAGGCCACCAAGTCTGGGATTTGGAGGGAACGTTCCAGAGGCCCCATGCTCAGCACAGAATCGCTCAGGGCTGATCTGGAGCCTCAGGCTCTGCCTCCCACGGGGGAGCAGGGTTTGGGGATTACCAAGACTATTGTCACAGAGCCTGGCATGAGGCACCTGCACAGGAAATGCCTGTGTCCTCCGTCCTCCTATCCAGGCGCGGGGCAGACCCTCAGCCCAGCCCCTGGAGCAGCGGCCTTCTGCCTTCAAGGTCCAGACCAAAAGCCACCTCCTCCCTGAAGCCCCCCACCTCTGGGTTGGAGTGACCCTCACATCCTGTGGTAGCCGCCATGCTGGGTGCTGTGGTGGTCAGCACTGTGCCTGCCGGTTCAGCATCCTCCCCGTCTTGCTCTGATGGTTTAGGGGGACTCTCCCCAGTCTTATTTGTCATGCTGAGCTCTGCGCCCAGCTCTGGCAGATGTGGACCACTGGGACACAATTCTGTCACTTTAAATGTTGGAATAACTGTAGACGAGACCTAGCCTTCAGCTAAGACTTTTTTTTTTTTTTTTTTTTGTCTTTTCTTTTTTGGTGCTGGGATCGAACCCAGGGCCTCACGCATGCTAGGCAAGCGCTGTACCACCGAGCTACATCCCAGCCCCTAAGTGTGTGTTTGGCATACGCAGTGGAGGGCAGCCTGAGAACAAAACCAACCCAGAGGAAAGTGGAGCCACATGACGGAGAGAGAGATTTCTGCTGCTTGAACGCCTGGATGCAGCCATGCCTGAAGCCATTGATTCCTGGGATACATGTTCTTTCTTATGTGTGCTGATCCACAGTGGGCATTTGTCATTTGCAATTAGTAGAATGCTAACAGAAGAAATGCACCTTGTTTTACCCTGTGTTAGAGTCACTTGTGTCAGTGCCTCCTCCCATAAGATCACAAGCTCCCCCTCCCCAGTTTTTTTTTTTTTTTTTTGAGGGACTGGGGTTTGAACTCAGGGCTTTGCACTTGCTAGATAGGTGCTCTGACCACTTGAGCCACACCTCCAGCTCTCTACAATGACTCCAACAGCAACACCAAAGCCCTGAGAGGACACCACCGTCGGGCACTGTGCAAGGCGTCACCTGTCATTTCACCCTTAGATGTTATTTTCCACAACTGTGACCATGAAAAGAATAAGGCTTGTCTGCCTGGCATCGAGGAAGAAATCAAAGCTCCTCTCTCACCTGCCAACCTCTCCTCGTCTCCTCTGGTCCTCCTGGTTCAGTGGAGGACAAGGTCTGGCCCTGGCTCCTGCTAATCTCCAGTCTAACTTGGCCCCAGGCTCAGCGCCGTGACAAACAACAGTGTCTGGTTCGAATGGGCAGTCTTCCGTTCTCACTAGGCTAGGGTTGGTTTATTGGGGTTTTTTTTGAGGTACTGGGATTTGAACCTAGGCCTCATGCACACTAGGCAAACACTCTACCATTGAGCTACATCCTTAGCACGTTATAAAAGTTGTTACTGTTATTATTTATTTTGAGACAGGGTCTCACTATGTAGCCCAGGCTGGCCTGGAACTCCCAACTCTCCTGCCTCGGCCTCAGGAGTGGAGTAGCCAGGATTACAGGAGTGTAGCACAGGTCACTGAGTGTGCCTCTCTTTATGATTTTGACCAAAGACAAAGGAATGCCAGTCACAGGGCCAATTCTTCTCTCTTCTGACCAAGAGGCTGGGAATGGGTGGACCGCAGGCAGAGGCGTTCTGTGTGTTAGTCCCCTTTCACCCAGCGGGTTTGCTGACTGCAATAAACGCCATGTAACTCCGTGTGCAGTGGAGAATGGCGGCTTTCATCGCCTCGTGGAGCTGTTAAGCCAGCAGCATGGTCAATTTTAAAACACTCTTATGTCTCCCCAAAGAAACTGCCCACGGCCCGCAGGCGCTCTTCCTCCTCTGTGCCCTGCACACCGCGTGGAGTCACGCTCGGTGGGTCGCCTGTGACCTGCTCCTTTCATTACTTCTTCACTTCAAGGCCCAGCTGTGCTGCTGCCCCTTTCGGTCCCTCACCCCTTCTCTTTTGATTTGGGGTCCTCTGTGTCAAGTCTGTGCGATCTCAGTCAGCTATCTGCGACAGTCACCTTTTTCATTGCCAAATAGTAGTCCCTGTCACAGGCGTCCCTTGCTGCATTTACCCAGTGTCAGTCGATGGACATTTGCATCGCCTTTGGTTTTGGCTGCCATGACGACCAAGCAGGGACGAGCTCTGCGTGGACACTGGGGTGTCGTGACGGTCACTCACACCACTTGTGGTGGCTGTGCTTCTTTTTCCACATTGTCCCTGACGCTGGCTGTGGGGCAGGTGTTGAGGGGTGGTGACAGCCGTCTTTGTGGGGATGAGGCGTGATTTCTGGTGGCCACTCGTGCTGAGGCCTGCTTGCAGGCTCATTGTCCCCTTGTCCGCTGTGGCCTCTGCTTGGAGCCACTGCCCATGTTCCAATGGTGAGTTTGTCGTCTTATGGTCACGTTCTGCGGCTACACAGATCCATGCTCTGTGTCCAAGTCCATCCCCAGAAGCGGGCCCTCGAGACCCTCTGTGCGCTGTGCGTTTTCTGGACGGAGTCTCTTGAGTCACAAAAGCTTTTCGTTTTGCCGCACTCCATTTGCCTGTGTCACTTTGTCCCTGCTTGGCTGTCGCGTCTCTGGGAAGCCAGCGCTGGTGCAAGGTCATGGGGATCTCTTCCTGTTCTGCTCTGGGAGCGTCGGAGCTCCTTCCGTTAGGGCCCGGTCCACCTGGGGTTCGTTCCTGCCTGTGACTTGTCCTTTCGCATGCGTGCCCCTGCCAAGAGCATTCGCACCCATTCAGTTGTCGCACGGCTAGATTGCCTTCACCTTGAGTCACTTGACCTGTCCTTTTTGTGACTTTTTTTGAGAAAGGGTCTCCCAAACTATTTGGCCAGGCTGATCTGTGCCTCCGGAGTAGCTAGGATTACAGGCGTGAGCCACTGGCACCAGTTTTAGGTTTTCTTTTTCTTAGGACTGGGGCTTGAGGTCAAGGCCGCTCCTGGCTAGGCAAGGGCTCTACCACTTGGGCTGCACCTCCAGCCCTTTTTGATTTTACTTTGTTTTCCAGACAGGGTCTTGAGCTAACTTGCCTGGGTTGGCCTTGAACCAGGATCCTCCTCCCTCTGCCTTCTGGAGTAGCTGAGATTGCAGGCATGTGTTACCACACCAGGCTTGTTTTTTTTCTTTTCTTGGTGGGACTGGGGTTTGACCTCAGGGCTTTGCCCTTGCAAGCAGGTGCTCTACTTGAGCCACATCTCCAATCCATTTTTCTCTGGCTATTTTAAAGATGGGGTCTTGAGAACTAGTTTTTCCCCCCGGGCTGTCCTCAAACCTTGATCCTCTCAATCTCAGCCTCCCAAGGAGCTAGGATCACAGGTGTGAGCCACAGGTGCCCGGTCCTAGCTTGTTTTTGAGAGAGTCTCACTAGCATTTGCCCAGGTTGACCTCCAATCATGAGGACATTACCTTGAGTGATACGTCAGGCACAGAAAGACGACTGTCACATGTTGTCTTCCACCTCAGAACCTGCACATGCGAACCCCATAGAAGTGGGGGTGGAGCGGTGCCTAGCACCCAGGGGGGGCCGGGGAGCAGGGCGGGGGCCTGTGCAGGAGGACCATTGACCACAGGAGTTAATTTCCAATGTCCTGCTGCACGGTGGGCTGACGACACCAGTTACTGATCTCAGAATAGCTACACACACACAATTTTGAATGTTCAAACAAAAAGAAATGATGGGGCAGCATGGTGTCTCACACCTGTAATCCCAGCACTTGGGCAGCAGAGAGAGGAAGATCACAAGTTCAAGGTCAGCCTGGGCTACTTAGTGAGACCCCGTGTTTGAAAACCAAGGACTGGGGATGGAGATCAGTGAAAGAGTCATTAACTTAGCATGTGCAAGGCTCTGGGTTTGATCCCCAGCACCACACACA